GTTCACTAATCGGCATCTCCGGGCGGCAAAGCAGATCAATTTCCTGATGATTTTTACTACGGCGTTCTGATTTTTATTAATTGCTATATATTACCGCTTTTTTAAAATCAATTTTTGTTTATATCATCAACAAATAAGAGTAACATACTAGGTCGAGTTGTCGTTCGTAGTGTATAGTTTGTTCCAAACCAGTGTTTGTTTCTGGTACAGGTTGGTAGTTGATTATTAACAATAAAGTTGTTGCTACTAAAACACATGTTATCTTCAGTGTGTGAGATATTTATTTAGGTTCTAGAGTTTAGTATTTGCATCCTTGCTAATCATTTATAACCTTCGTTGAAAGACTTAATCATTTTATATAAGTTGTTTGGAATTATAATATCGAATTAAATTCTTTAAAAATATATTAGAAGGCGCTATGCAAGGCTGACTAGGCAAAGGCTATAAACATCGATGAAATGTCTGTGGACAAAACTCTCCCCAAACTCCTACTTCACTCCGTATTCTGTTCCTCTGCACTCCTATCTTATCGTCAACATGAATTATCCCTGTTTTAACAACCATTTCCTCACGGTTAACACCACCCTGACTCCAGCTTTCATCTATCCAATTCCCATTTCCAGCCCTCTCATTCCATAGTTCCCATAATTCTGTCCACCCCCTTATCAGTGTGACAATGACTCGCACCCATTAACAACCCATCATTTGGCCACACAATATATTATACTACCTGATTTGTTTCATATATGCAAAAATTACGAGTCAGGACTTTTGCTTTAATAATGGCCATTTTTTTTTAACACATCTCGTTTTTAACTCCCATGCGTATGTTTTACTGCCAACTATATAAATGGCCTCAACGCATACAAGAACAATACAAAATATCTTTTCACAAATGTGTTGTCAAAATAATAAAAATGTACTCTTTCAATAAATTCATAGTCACTATTAAAATTTTCTATAGAATAAATTGAAAAAGAATCAGACTTTCATACACTCAATTGAATTTTGAATGTTTCAATGTCTTAAATTGTCATTCTTACCTATTTATTTGATGGCGCCCTTATTACCCTATAATGAATCTTTTTTTTTTAAATCGACAAAGATTACATAGCAAATAAATATTAAGGGTTTTTATTAAAGTTTACTTTGCGGTTCCAAAGTGAGGAACTAATTATAAAACATAGGTAAGCAAACTAAATACCTAGAAGATGTTTTAAAAAATAGACTATAGTTGATGAGATAACTCCTCATGTAACAAGATTATCCCTGTGATTAAAACACATTGATATTGAGATTGAATTGTCTCTCTTTGATAACAGCCAGTACCAAAGCACAATTATTTTTTTTGTGATTTTTTATTGATTAACAATAGTTAAATAAAAGAAAAAGGATAATACTTTCAATTTCGAGGTCTCACAAAAGCTTTTTTACCTGTTATTCTAATTTTACACCAAAAACCCATTTTTAGATGTAAAGGCTAAAGGTAGGCCAGTTTAGAGTATTGTGCATGTCTGTAACGCTATTGGTGTTATGATAATGGTTACAGGCATACCTAGCAGCCTGACGCTGAACCATCTCAAGTTTATTGCATTGTTCAGCAGTATGAAGGTTCCAAACCTGAGCAAGCATACTCTAGTAAGCGAGTCTAGTTAAAGCAATAATGGGACAGAGCAGGCTGGGTTGGTGTGGGCTGCTTTCATGGTAATTCAAGTTACCTTTTATGCATCTTCTTCCACCTCAGAGCTATCAGCTCTTTGATTCAATTCATGACACCGTCCTGAACATGCATGAAATATTTGCCACTGAACATTAAGCAACCAATAATCATTCAATCAATTCATGACGAAATAGATCAGGTTGCCTTAATTTCCCTTCACAAGGTTTCATAGTACACACTTTTTTGTGTACAAAGTAATTGCATGCATGATAAATTATCACAATTTTAAGATGGCATTGTACTCTAATCAAGGTATAAAAAACCATATTTGTTACTCTTTATTTAAATGAAAGAAACTTACAATCGTCAAAAACATTTTTTAATAGCAGGATATTTAAAAATCAATGTGAAAACTAATTACAAGCTATTTAATTTAATTTGGAACAGCATTTTATTTTAAAATAGGATGGCAATTTTTGTTTTAATATCTTGATTATGATACAATGAAATCTTACCCTTGTGGTCATTCATGCGTAGTTACTTAGTACACAGAAAAAGTATGTACTAAGAAAATTAGAAGGCAAATTCAAGCAATTTGATTGGACAAGAAGTTGTAAGTATGTGCTAACATGATCTGTAACTTATCATAAGAGTATGTGAGTTTATTATGATGAGTTACAGATCATGTTAATATTTGTTTCCACTCTGCTTATTTTTAGTATACACGTGAGTCTACTATATAGGATGAGTTACAGATCATGGTAAATAATATTGGTTTTTTTTCACTTTGCTTATAATTTGCAATTACAATGGGCTTTGGACTGAACATTTTGTGAAAATAATAGTTATACAGACTTTTTTAGCTCACCTTGCCCACCTGCCAACCAACATGGCCAACATGGGTAAATTAGAACATAGGGGAAAAATGCAGTTTCTGGCTTATATCTCTAAAATAAAGCATTTCGAGCAAATAAAATGGAATAAAAATGTTCATCAGGTAAAGATCTATCTGACCGCTGCCCTTGAATTGATAATTTTGCCGAATTTTTGTTTATTATCTTTCATATTGTTATTATAGAGATAAACTGTTTAACAGCAATAATGTTCAGCAAAGTAAGATCTACAAATAAGTCAAACATATTACCAAAATTGTCAATTGACCCCTTAAGGAGTTATTTACAATTTTTCGTAAATTTTTGTTATCTTTTACTAGAATCCTCTCCACTTAATAATCTACTGGTGCAAACAGAATTTAACTTCTTGATTGAAAAATATATCCGATGACCCTGCCATCCAACCAACATGGCCGCCATGGCTAAAAATAGAACATAGTTGTTTATAGAAGGCTACAGGATGATTGTAAAAATAAAAATTTCACAATTTGAAAACTAATTAATTTTAATAATAAGGGGTCTTCAGTTACTATTGTAAACAGATAGTGAGACAACTCTACATCCAAGTCACAATTTGTAAACCATTATAGGTCTGTTGTACGGCCCGAGACTCAACATGGAGCCTTAGTCTACAATGGGATGACCTGATATTTTTTCATGGGCCGGTGCAATTTTGGGGGGGTTGGAGGGTTATAACTTCTGCTTGATATTTTCCATTTTCAGAATTTTTAATTAACTTTTCTATAAACCATCATATTGTTTCTTTCGGCATACTTATATTGGGTGAATGCTTCCCTGCCTAATTTTTTTGAAGGTCGTTCTAGGTTTAGTTTCTAAATACTCTCTCATTTTGAGCTGATTTATAGTATGTGAGTCTACTTTAAAGAGTAACAGATCAAGGTTAGGTTTGATATAGTTCCATTGATTTTTGCTGAAATTACGGGCTTAGTGGACTATGTGAAAATAACATGTATACCGGGTAGAGACTTTTTTCTTAACTATCACATATTTTGCTGAAATTACGGGCTTAGTGGACTATGTGAAAATAACATGTATACTGGGTAGAGACTTTTTTCTAAACTATCACATATTGAGCTGATTTTCAGTATGTGAGTCTGCTTATGATGAGTTACAGATCAAATTTATGTTTAGTTCTGCTCCGCTGATAATTGCAGAAACAACAAGCTTTGGACTTGTAATGTTTTTTAAAATAACAGTTATACAGACATATTTTGGTTCTGCTCCACTGATTTGTGCTGAAATAACGGGCTTTGGACATTGAAAATTTTTATGTGAGGCGGGCTTTTCATGTTGTTCAGACATGTCTAGTATTTAAAAACATTTTTATGGCCCTGCAACAAAGTTGTTGGTCATATAGAATTCAGGCTCTTGAGAGCCTCTTGTTTTCTTAACCATGTTAACGCCTTCAGATATTGGGTTCCGTTTTGCTAATTTTTGCTGAAATTCAGGACTTTGGATTTTGATAAATGGTTGAAAATCAGTTATCCTGATTTTTTTCTAAATGCCTTCAGATATTGTGCTGATTTTAGGTATGTTAGTTAACCATGATGTGTTACAGATCAAGTTTAAGTTTCGTTCCGATCTGCTGATTTTTGCTGAAAGAACGGGTTTTGGACTTTGAAAATTTTTGAAAATCAGTTATACAGATTTTTTTTTTGTATATATGCCTTCAGATATTAAGCAGATTTTGACTTTTTTTCAATACGCCTTCAGATTTTGCACTGATTTTACGTGAGTCTACAATGATAAGTTACATTTCGTTCCGATATGCTGATTTTCATGTCAGTTTCAACACATCTTGGTAGATCTGCAGTACAACCACTTCCTGTTTGCTGATATTTAACAACTCATTGATCAAGGAAATTTTTTACCAAACTAGTATTGGTTTTGAAAACTTGATACTACTCATGCATGTTTGTGTCCACATATGTTGCTGAAATTCAACTTTTTGAGACAGGGCCTTTCATGTCTTTCAGACACATTTAGTTTGTATTTTTCTTAAGCTTTGAAATATAAAGCAACTTTATATGCAAACTTTATTCTTAGAAAAAACTAAAATTATCAAATAATTGTTCAGAAAACAATTTGACAAAGTGGCTTGGTACTTAAAATGCTTCATGGGGCCAAAAAATATATTTTTTGCATGATTAAAATTTGATAAATCTTCATTAATCAAGGCTTCTGAACAATTATTACCGGTAAATATGATTATATGCAATGTAAACAGACAAGTTTGTGACTTTATGTCTGCTTACCATGTATTACATAGTAAATAAGGCACACACTTTTGACTCATAAAAAATTACTTTTTCAATGTCCTAATTTAATAAAAGTTTTAAATTAGAATTGTGGATGGCACATGTATTTGTTGAAAAGTGAATAAATAATGAATTGATAATAAGTTGTCATTACAAATTGGTCTCAAAAAAAATTTCTTCAAATATATACTGTAATGAAATATATTTTTAATGGAATGTATAGTAATTATAAATATTCTTGTCCAACATGCAAAAGATTAAATTCTGAAAAAATTGCAACAGCAAATAGTCTGTATTTAAAGCTGATATTAATTTATAGTTTTTGTTAAAGATACATCTAAATATGTTGCACTCCTACACAGAGAAGATGGATTCATGGCATATAGGAAGAGTCAACATGTAAGTATTTGGTCATTACAATTGTACTTAAAACTATGTTAATATTTGGAAGTCAATAAAAATCTGTTTTCACTGAAACGATAGCTTAAAATTATATTACAAATTGGTCTAAAATATCTTTTGAAATTCGAATAAATGTGGTATATTTTAATAAGAATGAAAGAGTAGTTGTAAATTAAGTGTCCGTAATTTAAAATTTGACATAAAACATGAATCACATTAATTTTTTATTTTTTTCAACAGCCATTAAATATTCTCTATCTAAAGCTGATGCTAATTTATATTTTTTCTTTTGTAACAGATACGGTCCAGATATGTTCCACTCCCACACAATGAAGATGGTTTCATGGTAGATGGCACATTAGGATGTTTAACGTGTAGGTTTTTAGTCATTACAATTGTACTTTAGACTATGTTTATATGTGTTGGGTAATAAATATCAGTTTTCCCTGGAACAACAGCTTAAATAAAATTTTATTTCAAATTAGTGTACATATTTCTTTTGTTCAAATTTATAATCTAGTGAAGTAAATTTTAACATGAATGTGTAGTAATTGTAAATATTCTTGTGTCCAATTTAGGATTTAACATAAAATATGAGTGACATTTATTTTATAATTGTTGCAACAGCCAATAGTCTCTATTTGAAGCTGATACTAATTGATGATTTGGTTTTGGTATTTTTAATTGTACTTTAAAAACTATGTTTATATGGTTTTCAGGTAACAAAAATCCGTTTTCCCTGGAACAGCAGCTTAAATTAGATTTGATTACAAATTGGTTTAAAATTTCTTTTCAAATTTATACTCTTATGAAGATTATATTAATGATAATGTATAGAAATTGTTTATATACTTGTCTTCAAATTAGGATTTGTCATAAAAAATGCATCATATTAATTTTGAATTAATTGCAACAGCCAATAGTCTCTATTTGAAGTTGATACTAATTGATGATTTGGTTTTGTTATAGATACAGCCTAAATATGTTACACTCCTAGACAATGAAGATGCTTTCATGGTATATAGCACACGAAGATTCGTATCATGTAGGTATTTTGTCATTATAATTGTACTTTTAACTCTTTTTATATGTGTTGGGTAACAAAAATCAGTTTTCCCCTTGAACAACAATTTGAAATTTTATTACAAATTTGTCGAACATTTCTTTTATTCAAATATTTACTGTAATAAGTTAAGTAATTGTAAATATTCTAGACTAGTCTCCAATTTAGGATTTGGCATAAAACATGCATCACATTAATTTCTGAATTGATTGCAACAGCAAATATTCCCTATTTAAAGCTGAAACTAATTTTCAATTTTTGTTTTTATTACAGATACAGCCTAAATATGTTACACTCTTCGACAATGAATATGGTTTCATTGTAGATAGCACATTAGGATTAGTCACATGTAGGTATTTATTCATTACAATTTTTTTCTTTAAACTAGGTTTATTAGCTCATCTGGCCCCTATGGTTTGGGCCAGGTGAGCTTTTCTCACCACTTGGCGTCCGTTGTCGTCGTCCGTTAATACAAAAATCTTCTCCTGAAACTACTGGGCAAAATTTAACCAAACTTGGCCACAATCATCACTAGGGTATCTAGTTTAAAAAATGTGTCCGATGACCCCGCCTGCCAACCAAGATGGCCGACTTGGCTAAAAATAGAACATAGGGGTAAAATGCAGTTTTTGGCATATATCTCTGAAACTAAAGCATTTAGAACAAATCTGACAATGGGTAAAAATGTTTATCAGGTTAAGATCTATCTGCCCTGAAATTTTCAGATGAATCAGACAAGCCGTTGTTGGGTTGCTGCCCCTGAATTAGTAATTTTAAGGAAATTTTGCAGTTTTTTTGTTATCTTGAATATTATTATAGAAAGAGATAAACTGTAAACAGCAATAATGTTCAGCAAAGGCAGATCTACAAATAAGTCAACATGACCAATATGGTCAATTGACCCCATGAGGAGTTATTGCCCTTTAAAGTCAAATTTAACAATTATTCGTAAATTTTTGTAGTCTTTTACAAAAATCTTCTCTCCTGAAACAACTGAGACAAATTTAACCAAACTTGGCCACAATCATCACTGGGGTATCTAGTTTAAAAAATGTGTCCGATGACCCTGCCTGCCAACAAACATGTCAGACATGGCTAAAAGTAGAACTTAGGGGGAAAATGCAGTTTTTGACTTGTATCTCTGAAGTAAAGCAAATGTATAACGGTTGCATTATTTCATGCATCATTGTAAATAAAAATATCAGGTGAGCAACACAGGCTCCTTGAAGCCTCTAGTATTTGTTAGGCATTAAAAATCAGTTTTCACTGAAACAACGGATTGAAGCTTTATAACAAATTGGTCTAAAATTTCTTTTATTCCTATTTATATCCTAATGAAGTATATTTTAATAAGAATGTATAGTTATTGTAAATATACGTCTCCAATTTAGGATTTGACATCAAACATGCATAACATTAATTTCTGAATTGATTGCAACAGCAAATAGCTTTGATTTTGAAGCTGAAACTAATTTAAAATATTTGTTTTTGTTAACAGATACAGCCTAAATATGTAAGACTCCTATACCATGAAAGATGCTTCCATTGCAGAGAGCACATTAGGATTAGTCACATGTAAGTATTTATTCATAACAATTGTTCTTAAAACTATGTTTATATTTGTTAGGTAATAAAAATCAGTTTTTCCTGGAACAACAGCTTGAAATGTTATTACAAATTGGTCCTACATTTCATTTATTGAAATATTCACTAATGAGATATATTTTAATAAGAATGTATAGTGATTGTAAAAATTCTTGTCTCCAATTCAAGATTTGACATACATCATGCATCACATTAATTTCTGAATTGATTGCAACAGCAAATAGTCTGGATTGAAAGCTGATATAAATGTATATTTTTTTGTTTTCATTACAGATACAGCCTAAATATGTAAGACTCCTATACCATGAAAGATGCTTCCATTGCAGATGCACATTAGGATAAGTCACATGTAGGTATTTGGTCATTACAATTTTCCTTAAATCTATATTTATACTTGTTAGGTAATACAAATTAGTTTTTGCCTGAAACAACAGATTGAAGCTTTTTAACAAATTGGTCTAAAATTTCTTTCATTCAAATTTATACTCTAATGCTGAATATTTTAATAAGAATGTATAGTAATTGTAATTATATACTTTTCTCTAATTTGGGATTGAACATAAAACATGCATCACATTATTTTCTGAATTGATTGCAAGAGCAAAAAGTCTGGATTTAAAGCAGAAACTAATTAATAATTTTTGTTTTTGTTACAGATTATAGTCTAAATATGCAACACTCCTATACCATGAAAGATGCTTTCACACATTAGGATGTTGCACATGTAGGTATTTGGTCATTACAATTGTTCTTAAAACTATATTTATGTTTGTTAGGTAATAAAAATCCGTTTTTTCCTGAACAGTTTGACAAAAAGATGCTTTATGTTAAAATGGGTCTCGTAAAAGCAGACCTCTGCAGAGAGCAAACTTCAGATTTTGATATAACATTGATGAATTTAATGGGCGCTAATCTCGTAAAAGCAGATCCCCCAGCAGAGCTGATTACATAGTATGATGAAAACTTGTGTTTATGGTAAAATGTATTTAGTTTTTTGTCTGGCTCTATTTCATTATCAACCAATTTGAAACTTTATTACAAATTGGTCTCAAAAAAAATTTCTTCAAATATATACTGTAATGAAATATATTTTTAATGGAATGTATAGTAATTATAAATATTCTTGTCCAACATGCAAAAGATTAAATTCTGAAAAAATTGCAACAGCAAATAGTCTGTATTTAAAGCTGATATTAATTTATAGTTTTTGTTAAAGATACATCTAAATATGTTGCACTCCTACACAGAGAAGATGGATTCATGGCATATAGGAAGAGTCAACATGTAAGTATTTGGTCATTACAATTGTACTTAAAAAACTATGTTAATATTTGGAAGTCAATAAAAATCTGTTTTCACTGAAACAATAGCTTAAAATTATATTACAAATTGGTCTAAAATATCTTTTATTCGAATTTCAAATGTGGTATATTTTAATTAGAATGAAAGAGTAGTTGTAAATTAAGTGTCCGTAATTTAAAATTTGACATAAAACATGAATCACATTAATTTTTTATTTTTTTCAACAGCCATTAAATATTCTCTATCTAAAGCTGATGCTAATTTATATTTTTTCTTTTGTAACAGATACGGTCCAGATATGTTCCACTCCCACACAATGAAGATGGTTTCATGGTAGATGGCACATTAGGATGTTTAACGTGTAGGTATTTAGTCATTACAATTGTACTTTAGACTATGTTTATATGTGTTGGGTAATAAATATCAGTTTACCCTGGAACAACAGCTTAAATAAAATTTTATTTCAAATTAGTGTACATATTTCTTTTGTTCAAATTTATAATCAAGTGAAGTAAATTTTAACATGAATGCGTAGTAATTGTAAATATTCTTGTGTCCAATTTAGGATTTAACATAAAATATGAGTGACATTTATTTTATAATTGTTGCAACAGCCAATAGTCTCTATTTGAAGCTGATACTAATTGATGATTTGGTTTTGTTATAGATACAGCCTAAATATGTTACACTCCTAGACAATGAAGATGCTTTCATGGTAGATTGATCACACATCTGGATACGTAGCATGTAGGTATTTGGTATTTTTAATTGTACTTTAAAAACTATGTTTATATGGTTTGCAGGTAACAAAAATCCGTTTTCCCTGGAACAGCAGCTTAAATTAGATTTGATTACAAATTGGTTTAAAATTTCTTTTCAAATTTATACTCTTATGAAGATTATATTAATGATAATGTATAGAAATTGTTTATATACTTGTCTTCAAATTAGGATTTGTCATAAAAAATGCATCATATTAATTTTGAATTAATTGCAACAGCCAATAGTCTCTATTTGAAGTTGATACTAATTGATGATTTGGTTTTGTTATAGATACAGCCTAAATATGTTACACTCCTAGACAATGAAGATGCTTTCATGGTATATAGCACACGAAGATTCGTATCATGTAGGTATTTTGTCATTATAATTGTACTTTTAACTCTTTTTATATGTGTTGGGTAACAAAAATCAGTTTTCCCCTTGAACAACAATTTGAAATTTTATTACAAATTTGTCGAACATTTCTTTTATTCAAATATTTACTGTAATAAGTTAAGTAATTGTAAATATTCTAGACTAGTCTCCAATTTAGGATTTGGCATAAAACATGCATCACATTGATTTCTGAATTGATTGCAACAGCAAATATTCCCTATTTAAAGCTGAAACTAATTTTCAATTTTTGTTTTTATTACAGATACAGCCTAAATATGTTACACTCTTCGACAATGAATATGGTTTCATTGTAGATAGCACATTAGGATAAGTCACATGTAGGTATTTATTCATTACAATTTTTTTCTTTAAACTAGGTTTATTAGCTCACCTGGCCCCTATGGTTTGGGCCAGGTGAGCTTTTCTCATCACTTGGCGTCCGTTGTCGTCGTCCGTTAATACAAAAATCTTCTCCTGAAACTACTGGGCAAAATTTAACCAAACTTGGCCACAATCATCACTAGGGTATCTAGTTTAAAAAATGTGTCCGATGACCCCGCCTGCCAACCAAGATGGCCGACTTGGCTAAAAATAGAACATAGGGGTAAAATGCAGTTTTTGGCATATATCTCTGAAACTAAAGCATTTAGAACAAATCTGACAATGGGTAAAAATGTTTATCAGGTTAAGATCTATCTGCCCTGAAATTTTCAGATGAATCAGACAAGCCGTTGTTGGGTTGCTGCCCCTGAATTAGTAATTTTAAGGAAATTTTGCAGTTTTTTTGTTATCTTGAATATTATTATAGATAGAGATAAACTGTAAACAGCAATAATGTTCAGCAAAGGCAGATCTACAAATAAGTCAACATGACCAATATGGTCAATTGACCCCATAAGGAGTTATTGCCCTTTAAAGTCAAATTTAACAATTATTCGTAAATTTTTGTAGTCTTTTACAAAAATCTTCTCTCCTGAAACAACTGAGACAAATTTAACCAAACTTGGCCACAATCATCACTGGGGTATCTAGTTTAAAAAATGTGTCTGATGACCCTGCCTGCCAACAAACATGTCAGACATGGCTAAAAGTAGAACTTAGGGGGAAAATGCAGTTTTTGACTTGTATCTCTGAACTAAAGCAAATGTATGACGGTTGCATTATTTCATGCATCATTGTAAATAAAAATATCAGGTGAGCAACACAGGCTCCTTGAAGCCTCTAGTATTTGTTAGGCATTAAAAATCAGTTTTCACTGAAACAACGGATTGAAGCTTTATAACAAATTGGTCTAAAATTTCTTTTATTCCTATTTATATCCTAATGAAGTATATTTTAATAAGAATGTATAGTTATTGTAAATATACATCTCCAATTTAGGATTTGACATCAAACATGCATAACATTAATTTCTGAATTGATTGCAACAGCAAATAGCTTTGATTTTGAAGCTGAAACTAATTTAAAATATTTGTTTTTGTTAACAGATACAGCCTAAATATGTAAGACTCCTATACCATGAAAGATGCTTCCATTGCAGAGAGCACATTAGGATTAGTCACATGTAAGTATTTATTCATAACAATTGTTCTTAAAACTATGTTTATATTTGTTAGGTAATAAAAATCAGTTTTTCCTGGAACAACAGCTTGAAATGTTATTACAAATTGGTCCTACATTTCATTTATTGAAATATTCACTAATGAGATATATTTTAATAAGAATGTATAGTGATTGTAAAAATTCTTGTCTCCAATTCAAGTCTCCAATTCAAGATTTGACATACATCATGCATCACATTAATTTCTGAATTGATTGCAACAGCAAATAGTCTGGATTGAAAGCTGATATAAATGTATATTTTTTTTGTTTTCATTACAGATACAGCCTAAATATGTAAGACTCCTATACCATGAAAGATGCTTCCATTGCAGATGCACATTAGGATAAGTCACATGTAGGTATTTGGTCATTACAATTTTCCTTAAAACTATATTTATACTTGTTAGGTAATAAAAATCAGTTTTTGCCTGAAACAACAGATTGAAGCTTTTTAACAAATTGGTCTAAAATTTCTTTCATTCAAATTTATACTCTAATGCTGAATATTTTAATAAGAATGTATAGTAATTGTAATTATATACTTTTCTCTAATTTGGGATTGAACATAAAACATGCATCACATTATTTTCTGAATTGATTGCAACAGCAAAAAGTCTGGATTTAAAGCAGAAACTAATTAATAATTTTTGTTTTTGTTACAGATTATACAGTCTAAATATGTAACACTCCTATACCATGAAAGATGCTTTCACACATTAGGATGTTGCACATGTAGGTATTTGGTCATTACAATTGTTCTTAAAACTATGTTTATGTTTGTTAGGTAATAAAAATCCGTTTTTTTTCCTGAACAGTTTGACAAAAAGATGCTTTATGTTAAAATGGGTCTCGTAAAAGCAGACCTCTGCAGAGAGCAAACTTCAGATTTTGATATAACATTGATGAATTTAATGGACGCTAATCTCGTAAAAGCAGATCCCCCAGCAGAGCTGATTACATAGTATGATGAAAACTTGTGTTTATGGTAAAATGTATTTAGTTTTTTGTCTGGCTCTATTTCATTATCAACCAATTTGAAACTTTATTACAAATTGGTCTCAAAAAAAATTTCTTCAAATATATACTGTAATGAAATATATTTTTAATGGAATGTATAGTAATTATAAATATTCTTGTCCAACATGCAAAAGATTAAATTCTGAAAAAATTGCAACAGCAAATAGTATGTATTTAAAGCTGATATTAATTTATAGTTTTTGTTAAAGATACATCTAAATATGTTGCACTCCTACACAGAGAAGATGGATTCATGGCATATAGGAAGAGTCAACATGTAAGTATTTGGTCATTACAATTGTACTTAAAAAACTATGTTAATATTTGGAAGTCAATAAAAATCTGTTTTCACTGAAACAATAGCTTGAAATTATATTACAAATTGGTCTAAAATATCTTTTATTCGAATTTGAAATGTGGTATATTTTCATAAGAATGAAAGAGTAGTTGTAAATTAAGTGTCCGTAATTTAAAATTTGACATAAAACATGAATCACATTATTTTTTTATTTTTTTCAACAGCCATTAAATATTCTCTATCTAAAGCTGATGCTAATTTATATTTTTTCTTTTGTAACAGATACGGTCCAGATATGTTCCACTCCCACACAATGAAGATGGTTTCATGGTAGATGGCACATTAGGATGTTTAACGTGTAGATATTTAGTCATTACAATTGTACTTTAGACTATGTTTATATGTGTTGGGTAATAAATATCAGTTTACCCTGGAACAACAGCTTAAATAAAATTTTATTTCAAATTAGTGTACATATTTCTTTTGTTCAAATTTATAATCTAGTGAAGTAAATTTTAACATGAATGCGTAGTAATTGTAAATATTCTTGTGTCCAATTTAGGATTTAACATAAAATATGAGTGACATTTATTTTATAATTGTTGCAACAGCCAATAGTCTCTATTTGAAGCTGATACTAATTGATGATTTGGTTTTGTTATAGATACAGCCTAAATATGTTACACTCCTAGACAATGAAGATGCTTTCATGGTAGATTGATCACACATCTGGATACGTAGCATGTAGGTATTTGGTATTTTTAATTGTACTTTAAAAACTATGTTTATATGGTTTGCAGGTAACAAAAATCCGTTTTCCCTGGAACAGCAGCTTAAATTAGATTTGATTACAAATTGGTTTAAAATTTCTTTTCAAATTTATACTCTTATGAAGATTATATTAATGATAATGTATAGAAATTGTTTATATACTTGTCTTCAAATTAGGATTTGTCATAAAAAATGCATCATATTAATTTTGAATTAATTGCAACAGCCAATAGTCTCTATTTGAAGTTGATACTAATTGATGATTTGGTTTTGTTATAGATACAGCCTAAATATGTTACACTCCTAGACAATGAAGATGCTTTCATGGTATATAGCACACGAAGATTCGTATCATGTAGGTATTTTGTCATTATAATTGTACTTTTAACTCTTTTTATATGTGTTGGGTAACAAAAATCAGTTTTCCCCTTGAACAACAATTTGAAATTTTATTACAAATTTGTCGAACATTTCTTTTATTCAAATATTTACTGTAATAAGTTAAGTAATTGTAAATATTCTAGACTAGTCTCCAATTTAGGATTTGGCATAAAACATGCATCACATTAATTTCTGAATTGATTGCAACAGCAAATATTCCCTATTTAAAGCTGAAACTAATTTTCAATTTTTGTTTTTATTACAGATACAGCCTAAATATGTTACACTCTTCGACAATGAATATGGTTTCATTGTAGATAGCACATTAGGATTAGTCACATGTAGGTATTTATTCATTACAATTTTTTCTTTAAACTAGGTTTATTAGCTCACCTGGCCCCTATGGTTTGGGCCAGGTGAGCTTTTCTCATCACTTGGCGTCCGTTGTCGTCGTCCGTTAATACAAAAATCTTCTCCTGAAACTACTGGGCAAAATTTAACCAAACTTGGCCACAATCATCACTAGGGTATCTAGTTTAAAAAATGTGTCCGATGACCCCGCCTGCCAACCAAGATGGCCGACTTGGCTAAAAATAGAACATAGGGGTAAAATGCAGTTTTTGGCATATATCTCTGAAACTAAAGCATTTAGAACAAATCTGATAATTGGTAAAAATGTTTATCAGGTTAAGATCTATCTGCCCTGAAATTTTCAGATGAATCAGACAAGCCGTTGTTGGGTTGCTGCCCCTGAATTAGTAATTTTAAGGAAATTTTGCAGTTTTTTTTGTTATCTTGAATATTATTATAGATAGAGATAAACTGTAAACAGCAATAATGTTCAGCAAAGGCAGATCTACAAATAAGTCAACATGACCAATATGGTCAATTGACCCCATAAGGAGTTATTGCCCTTTAAAGTCAAATTTAACAATTATTCGTAAATTTTTGTAGTCTTTTACAAAAATCTTCTCTCCTGAAACAACTGAGACAAATTTAACCAAACTTGGCCACAATCATCACTGGGGTATCTAGTTTAAAAAATGTGTCCGATGACCCTGCCTGCCAACAAACATGTCAGACATGGCTAAAAGTAGAACTTAGGGGGAAAATGCAGTTTTTGACTTGTATCTCTGAACTAAAGCAAATGTATAACGGTTGCATTATTTCATGCATCATTGTAAATAAAAATATCAGGTGAGCAACACAGGCTCCTTGAAGCCTCTAGTATTTGTTAGGCATTAAAAATCAGTTTTCACTGAAACAACGGATTGAAGCTTTATAACAAATTGGTCTAAAATTTCTTTTATTCCTATTTATATCCTAATGAAGTATATTTTAATAAGAATGTATAGTTATTGTAAATATACGTCTCCAATTTAGGATTTGACATCAAACATGCATAACATTAATTTCTGAATTGATTGCAACAGCAAATAGCTTTGATTTTGAAGCTGAAACTAATTTAAAATATTTGTTTTTGTTAACAGATACAGCCTAAATATGTAAGACTCCTATACCAGGAAAGATGCTTCCATTGCAGAGAGCACATTAGGATTAGTCACATGTAAGTATTTATTCATAACAATTGTTCTTAAAACTATGTTTATATTTGTTAGGTAATAAAAATCAGTTTTTCCTGGAACAACAGCTTGAAATGTTATTACAAATTGGTCCTACATTTCATTTATTGAAATATTCACTAATGAGATATATTTTAATAAGAATGTATAGTGATTGTAAAAATTCTTGTCTCCAATTCAAGATTTGACATACATCATGCATCACATTAATTTCTGAATTGATTGCAACAGCAAATAGTCTGGATTGAAAGCTGATATAAATGTATATTTTTTTGTTTTCATTACAGATACAGCCTAAATATGTAAGACTCCTATACCATGAAAGATGCTTCCATTGCAGATGCACATTAGGATAAGTCACATGTAGGTATTTGGTCATTACAATTTTCCTTAAAACTATATTTATACTTGTTAGGTAATAAAAATCAGTTTTTGCCTGAAACAACAGATTGAAGCTTTTTAACAAATTGGTCTAAAATTTCTTTCATTCAATTTATACTCTAATGCTGAATATTTTAATAAGAATGTATCGTAATTGTAATTATATACTTTTCTCTAATTTGGGATTGAACATAAAACATGCATCACATTATTTTCTGAATTGATTGCAACAGCAAAAAGTCTGGATTTAAAGCAGAAACTAATTAATAATTTTTGTTTTTGTTACAGATTATACAGTCTAAATATGTAACACTCCTATACCATGAAAGATGCTTTCACACATTAGGATGTTGCACATGTAGGTATTTGGTCATTACAATTGTTCTTAAAACTATGTTTATGTTTGTTAGGTAATAAAAATCCGTTTTTTTCCTGAACAGTTTGACAAAAAGATGCTTTATGTTAAAATGGGTCTCGTAAAAGCAGACCTCTGCAGAGAGCAAACTTCAGATTTTGATATAACATTGATGAATTTAATGGACGCTAATCTCGTAAAAGCAGATCCCCCAGCAGAGCTGATTACATAGTATGATGAAAACTTGTGTTTATGGTAAAATGTATTTAGTTTTTTTGTCTGGCTCTATTTCATTATCAACCAATTTGAAACTTTATTACAAATTGGTCTCAAAAAAAATTTCTTCAAATATATACTGTAATGAAATATATTTTTAATGGAATGTATAGTAATTATAAATATTCTTGTCCAACATGCAAAAGATTAAATTCTGAAAAAATTGCAACAGCAAATAGTCTGTATTTAAAGCTGATATTAATTTATAGTTTTTGTTAAAGATACATCTAAATATGTTGCACTCCTACACAGAGAAGATGGATTCATGGCATATAGGAAGAGTCAACATGTAAGTATTTGGTCATTACAATTGTACTTAAAAAACTATGTTAATATTTGGAAGTCAATAAAAATCTGTTTTCACTGAAACAATAGCTTAAAATTATATTACAAATTGGTCTAAAATATCTTTTATTCGAATTTCAAATGTGATATTTTAATAAGAATGAAAGAGTAGTTGTAAATTAAGTGTCCGTAATTTAAAATTTGACATAAAACATGAATCACATTAATTTTTTATTTTTTTCAACAGCCATTAAATATTCTCTATCTAAAGCTGATGCTAATTTATATTTTTTCTTTTGTAACAGATACGGTCCAGATATGTTCCACTCCCACACAATGAAGAAGGTTTCATGGTAGATGGCACATTAGGATGTTTAACGTGTAGGTATTTAGTCATTACAATTGTACTTTAGACTATGTTTATATGTGTTGGGTAATAAATATCAGTTTACCCTGGAACAACAGCTTAAATAAAATTTTATTTCAAATTAGTGTACATATTTCTTTTGTTCAAATTTATAATCTAGTGAAGTAAATTTTAACATGAATGCGTAGTAATTGTAAATATTCTTGTGTCCAATTTAGGATTTAACATAAAATATGAGTGACATTTATTTTATAATTGTTGCAACAGCCAATAGTCTCTATTTGAAGCTGATACTAATTGATGATTTGGTTTTGTTATAGATACAGCCTAAATATGTTACACTCCTAGACAATGAAGATGCTTTCATGGTAGATTGATCACACATCTGGATACGTAGCATGTAGGTATTTGGTATTTTTAATTGTACTTTAAAAACTATGTTTATATGGTTTGCAGGTAACAAAAATCCGTTTTCCCTGGAACAGCAGCTTAAATTAGATTTGATTACAAATTGGTTTAAAATTTCTTTTCAAATTTATACTCTTATGAAGATTATATTAATGATAATGTATAGAAATTGTTTATATACTTGTCTTCAAATTAGGATTTGTCATAAAAAATGCATCATATTAATTTTGAATTAATTGCAACAGCCAATAGTCTCTATTTGAAGTTGATACTAATTGATGATTTGGTTTTGTTATAGATACAGCCTAAATATGTTACACTCCTAGACAATGAAGATGCTTTCATGGTATATAGCACACGAAGATTCGTATCATGTAGGTATTTTGTCATTATAATTGTACTTTTAACTCTTTTTATATGTGTTGGGTAACAAAAATCAGTTTTCCCCTTGAACAACAATTTGAAATTTTATTACAAATTTGTCGAACATTTCTTTTATTCAAATATTTACTGTAATAAGTTAAGTAATTGTAAATATTCTAGACTAGTCT